TTTTTTTAAGGATTTTTCCCTTGCAAAGTTTCCAGGGGAAAGAATATTTTGCAAAAATTGAGCATTTGATCTGCATTACAGTTCCAGGTCAATGCCACAGATAGTACTGAAGCTTTTGCAACAACAAAGCAGCCAGGGACGTAGTATTTTAAGGGGTTTTCGGCAGCCATACCCAATCCAGTTTCTCAGTACACGTTTCCTTCAACACATGGACTAAACAGCAGATTTAATTACAGACATCTAAAACACGTAATAGAAAAATGACTTTATAGCTATTATATACAAATACCTGACAGCTCTACAATATCAAGTCTGCGTGGTGAGAAAGCCAAATTGGGTAATTGTTCCGAATTACCAACTTAATTGATGCCTTAAAGAAAACTTGTTAAAAATTTACAACATATATAATTGCTACAGAAGCCAATCTGGGATGTAATATTCTTAGACGTTTCCCTTCTGTTTCAGTCTACAGCCGATCTTGATTTTCTAAAATTGCCAAATATTTAAAAATTCTCTTTTTCCCCCGACCATACAGATCACAGAACTCCCGTCCCCAACATTCTGCTTTTCTTAGAAGCCTGCATAGAGCTTGACATCAATTGGCAGGCAGTCCCTGCATCAGTTGTTTAATCTTTGGTAAGATACCTTCTGAGATAATACTGGGCAGCTTTTTTTTTTTCATAAGGCTGTACCAAGTTTAGAGTTTAAAGGGGACCTGTCAGCTGTTACCTCCCTTCCAGAGTAAAGATTCCCTTTTGAGACAAGATGCTGCCCATAATCCTACACCAGGGAATGAAGGTATGACAGCTTCCAGGGCTGCGTGGGACACTTGGCAGGACAAATACGGGTCTGTGTGAGAGGTGCCTTTTGAAATATACAGTTATTGTCACTAAATCAAACTTCGAAATGGTCAAATTAGCTACAGTAACACCACCGGACACAGCAAAAATCACCAAATACTAAAAGCCACTAGACTACGACGACAGCCCCATACAGCATTCAAAGCAACTTGCCCAAATCTGACACTATTATCCAAATAAAGTATACATCCTGTATGGCAGCAGTCCCTGAGAGTTATAGAGTGAGCCTAGGTGCAGAGCCATAAGGTTGGGACATGCAATGTGGTCTCATAATTCATCTATTAGGTCCCCTGATTGCTAGAAATAGAATGTGCCGAGAAGGGCACACTCTGAGCGAGGCACCAATGATGGCAAATGTGAAGGCCCCAGAGAACGGCCTGCAGACACTTGTTGCCACTGCTTCTGCTCTATGGAAGGTACTTCAACTAAGCTACATCAATATAACATCATCTGTTATTTATACAGATCCTTTCTGTCATTTATTTGTAAAAATCATATATGAATTTTAATTATATAGCATTTATCTCGCTGTTATAGAACACCGATTGCACTCTGGTTTCTTTTAAAGATAATATGAAAACAATGAGATTCCGAAGGCAGCCACAGGCAAAGGACAGCAATTGGCACAACTGTTCTGTAAAAACATTTTAGCTTTGTGTGGGCGCAATCCATCATGGAAGATTGGTTCTTCCTCCAAGACTGGTCAGCCCAGGGGGGTCTCCCGAAAGCCACCGACACAGAAATAGTTCCTCATCTGAGGATTATCAGCCAGATAGAGCAACAATCTTCTATATAACTGGGTGCCATTAAAAAGGCCTCTTACATGTTGCATGGAATTGAGATCAGTCACTTACAGTAACCTGCAATGATCAATCAGCTTCATGGAACATTGCAGCTTTGTGTGGGCGCAATACATCATGGAAGATTGGTTGTTCCTCCAAGACTGGTCAGCCCAGGGGAGTCTCCTGAAAGCCAGCAACACAGGAATAGTTCCTGATCTGAGGATTATAAGCCAGATAGAGCAACAATCTTCTTATGTAACTGGGTGCCATTAGAAAGGCCTCTTACATGTTGCATGGAATTGAGATCAAGCATTTACAGTAACCTGCAGTAATCAATCAGCTTCAGGGAACAATGGACGTAAACATAACAGAAAACTATTCAAAGGACAACTACAGTTGGGTATGTAGGCACTACAACAAGTAGCATGTATGCTGCCAGGTGTCCAACAGAATTCTGTACTCGTTTAAAGGAGGAAGCTTATTTCCTGGCCGGTACAGGGTCGGGGTAGCGTCGGCTTCTAATGATGTTCCTATATAACAAAACAAGTGCAAGCATCACACTCTATGAGTAAGGGGTGGTTGTCGGGACTTTTGGCCAACCAGCTTATACTCTAATGACTAGCTTTGCATACAACCCCCACCCCCTACTTGCCTCTCAGTGTGCTGCTTAACCTTTACGTTCGTATAAGAGCACCAGCAGATGGAAACACTGCAACGGCTACTCAAAGGCAATTGGATCAGAGTTCTTTTTTTTTTTTTTAAGGTTATGATTAAAAGTGGATCACTGGCAACATGGGGGCTGCATATGGCAACCCCTCAACCTCTTCATACCAACCCATCAACAGGCACTACAAAAATTCCTATAACAAACATGATAACTGTGCCTTTAAAACACATTAGCTCTTGTGATATAACCAGGGATAACAGCTACCCTTGCACATACATAGGTGCAAGTCTATTGCTTAGCTTACATTAAGCCTGTCTGCAGTTCGCACTGATTGACAACACAGTGCGGAGAGCAGCACATCCTACGTGCAGAACTGAGAACAAGGAAGGCGCCATGATCAGTCTAGGTGTTTCTGCTGTTGGCCTGCTGGAATGGGAAGAGGGTTATCTAAACTCAAGCAGCTTCTCATCTGTGTCTTCAGTGACTACATGTGCTTCCTGAGTGCACTGCAGTGCAAGATCATATATGGCTCCAGGCACTGAAGATATTTCATCAAGTAGGTACAGGGGAGCATATGGCTTCCTTGATCGCAGTACTTCACTGAAGACTTGCTGGGTTTTTTTCACACCGCATAGTAAATCCTGCAAACACTCAATGGAAAGTTAGTCTGCAGCCAACAGAACCTTGGAAGATGCAGGTATGACCAAATATGAATGTGCTGGCTGGGGGGAGCCGGGTAAAGAAAATGATAAATCAACATAAATGCCTTTTCTCCAGGTCTCAGACTTCAGGTAACAACAAGGACATTTCCTACTATGCAATGTATAAACTTTTTGAAGCAAATTTATAAAGGTAAAGGTGTTAGGTCAAAGTAGGGTATAAATAGAGCTTCTGAGCAACCACCAGTCCTAGCTAACACTGTTACATGAATGTTCTTCTGGATCCTATTATGATTGGGAAGTTTAAGGCAGAGTGGAGCTGTTAGTCAAAACATGGGACCTGTGTGCCCTCTTGCTTCTACTAAGACTCTATCCCGGCGCTATTAGGACAATTGGGTTCAGAATTTTATTTAATTAGCATGTTTTATCATTGTAGCTTCAATTTTTAACTCTAAAGCTTCTTGCATCTTCCTAAATTGTCATTATTACAGCTAACTGCAGACCCCAAGTAGAATTTAAACCCCAATGACTCCCTAAACTGTTATTTCGGGTGGCTCTAGACAGCTGACTCACCCTACCAACTTTTGTATTTTTCCAAGACTTCAGCAGTAAAATGTCATTGCTGTAGTCAAGTGTCTGCCCTCTTCAAGGCTCTGATGAGTATGCCATTGCCTGGCACCTGGATTGCCCAATTATTTGTACAATGTCAATTATGAAGAAGCTACTGGGAGAGGGGCACCGTCATTTGCAAGTGATGCAGCTGTTGCAAAGAGCTGCTGATTTTTGGTGGTGGCATCGTACCCGTGGAGTTCCCAAGAGAAGAAAAAATCTGGTATCTAATTCAACTTGCCGGCTACCATTTGAAATGACATATCAGTTTTGGGAGCATTTGGTCTTCAAAACTGAACTTCAGGCAAGGGGCTAAACGCACAGCTGAAAAACATAGATGGTACCTGCCAAATAATTTGTAATTCTGTCCATTCAGTTTTGTGATTCAGGTACCCATGCAGCAGAATTAAATTGGTCAAACGCACACCCTCAGCTTCCTGATTGGAAAACAAAGAAAGGGCAGCAAGGGCATCCCTCTGCTCACTTTACTCTTCCCCTTTGTTCCCTGCCAGAGCATGAACAGGGGATTAAGACAGGTTTAGATACTTACACTCCTTGCATACATAAAAAAAAATTTATGACTACATATTGTTGTTTTTTTAATAACTGTCTGGAGTTCAGATTTAGAGTGAGCTTGTGGGCTTTGCCCAAGCAGAGGAAGTAACGGGTTCACTTTAGTGGTGGCTTCAGCAGCTTCTACTCACCATCCCTTTGCTGCCCTATATCTCTATTTGCCCCTTGAAAGCAAAGAGAGGAATCCTGGACTATGTTTCATGTTTGGACCTACACAGGACTGAGGACTCTCCCCATGGTCATGTGACAGCACCATGTGCATGAGCAGCCACCAACCATCAGTGATGTTACGAAGGAGGGAGGAGAATGAATGGCATACCTAAAAGTACTGGGTATTTCTCCTCACTCCCAGGGGTCAAATGGAGTGGCTGGGGAGTAACCGGAAGGCGACTATGTGTTTCTGGTGGAAAAAGAAAACAGGAAGGTATACCCACAGTCTATGGCCAACTCATAGTCACTGCTGCATGCTAACATGTGGCCACAAAAAACAAGATTTACAGCAATTTTGGGAGAAATGGCAACGGTTATCCTCTGGCACTACCATTCCTATAGTGCAATTTTGCTCTTTGTACAGAATCATAATAGTTGTGCCAAGGCTGATTCCCAGCCAACATTTCTATCTGATACTGAGCATTAATAGTTGAAAGGCAAAGGGTGAATGGACAGTAATACAAGACTTCACTTAATTCTATGTACTGTGTTCTACTGATCCACTATGTACAATGCCAAGCACAAAATGACCGGCAGGAGCTGATGGTTCTGCCCTTCCCCTTGGACACGACTGGCTAGTCTCAGTACACCTCACACCCCTTATAAACTGCGGTCACGGATCTGCAGACTCCTCCCCCCGCGTGGGTTACTTTGCATCCTTAATGGCTAATAGGAAATGAGCCCAGTGACCACTGGTTATGAAGAGGTATGTAAACAAAGATTGCACACACTACATACACAGCAGGACTTACAATATCAACTCTTACCTATCTATTAAAAGCATTTTTATGTTCTTCCTGTACACCCCCTTTTTAGGATTAAATCACTACACTTGCATTAGCTTCTAACGTCTCTTCCTTGTGAGCACACCACATACGGGATGTTGTAAAAAACATGAAATGCATGATATAAATAGCTACAAAAACTGAAAAGCATAAAAAAAGCTCCCACGGGTGAGAGATTGGCAGTTTATCGTATAATATTCAGATAATGCACTTCCGGGTACAAAGAGTTGATGAGCAGAGCTAGCAGTGTGTTTCCGTCCTGAAGGCAGTGTCCTGGGTACCGGATGAACTGCATGGCCTCGGAGATCTGGTCCTGGTACTCCGCATACTGCTTGCTCGAGGTCAGGGACTCCACAGAACTAAGAGCCTGTCAAATAAATAACAAATATATCTGCAACAAAATGATAGGACATTGAACTTCAGTGTATAAAGCAGTGCACACGCACTACTTTTTCAGTTCGCACTGCATTGGAACGGAGGGCATTCCTGTACCTCGAGTTCCGGTGCAGGCCGGGGTGTGTCTGCGGGGCCATTGGCATGATTGGCACCGACACGCCCCCTTCCACCCCAGAACGTGGCCCGGATTGATCTACGTGATCCAGCGCTTTCTGGGCGGGAACTGCCCCGGGAAGCACTGGATATGGTGCGACTGGGCCCGTAGGGGGCTTTAAATATGGCCACTTGCGTCACCAAAGGACTGCACATAACATTCACTGAATGTAATGCTACAGAAAAGCATTGGAACAAGTTTCAGACTTTTCTCTCTATACCAAAAATGTATTTTTGTGTCCCTGCTGCTCCCAATACTTTCTGCCCTGACCTCCTCCTCCTTCTCACGGTCCAAAAAAAACTTAATTCAAATTGGCCCTACAAGGTGTCTATGAGTGCAGTAGGACCTTTACCTTCTAGATTATGTGACGCCATTACTTTAATGTGTAGAGTGCTTCCATAATAAGTCAGCTCCACAGATTTCTATTAAAAGAAAAGCGACTCTGCTCTGCTTCACTCGCCCACCCAGCAACATGCAGGCAAAATGCACACAATGCAGATGGTTCCAACTACAGAGAGTGAAAAGCAGAAAATATATGTATAAAAAGGTGTCGAGAAATGGGAATGTAAGCTCTTCAGGGGCAGGGCCAACGTGAATGGTTTTATGTACTTATGTAAGATACTACTCAATATTCTCCTGCTATATCGATATTGACATCAAATGAATAGGCATGTGAGGAATTTTTGTAAATACGACTCTATACCTTTTTCTTTCATTTGGATCACTTACCTGCTGAGATTTTGGCGACAAGTGAAGGCCAGATCCTGCCCTAAGGCGCACTTGGTTATCGTCAGGAATCTGAGCCAAAATGAAGGCAGCCAAGCTACGAGCGATAATCCGAAATCTAAAATAATAAAGCACACTGAAGGTACATATTTGAATGATGCAAGAACAAACATTTACTCACTAAGTTGCAGTAACTCAGCACTGTGTCTCATCGTGTGTGTCCAGGTGCGGGCACCCAGACTCGCATGTGCAGGTTAGGGGCTGCATATATTGGCGTGCAGCCGCATACTCCCATAGGGAAGTACAGGCCACAGCACGCAATACACGCAGCACCTGTCTGTAATGGAAACAGGTCTTTGCAGGGGTGTGCACCAGAGACGTAATTAGAAACCTCAGGGCCCCAGTCCAACAAGAAACCATGAGGGGCTCCCAGTACCCCCCATAAAGAACACAGCTGGAGTGGTGTTAGAGGGCAAGCAGAGGGAAGTCTGACATTCATTAGGTAGAACACGGTGGTATGAGTATCAACTACTATGGGAGGGAGCTGCAGAGCGTTGGCCTGCTGCATGCTGGGAGCTGTAGTCCTAGGAGGCAATGTCAGTGCCTCAAAGGTTACCGAGGCCAGGCTCCCTCCTTCCTATCCACCCCCCCTCAAATGGTGAAACGCCAGGGCCTGGACGCACATGCAACCCTGGTAGTTCTGCCAGTGGCGTGCACGATGTACGGACGTGCACTCCCATGAGCCCTTACAAGGCAGTTCAGCACTTTAGCCATAGTGTCCTACGCATATGAACTGACATATGACTAATGTGAGAAAAAGGTTGTGAAGCTTCTCAGTAGAAATGTAATGCCACTGTCATCTGTTCCACACGTTCAGTGAGCAGAGGCTCAACATTAGTGGTGGTTAGATTGCCTTTTTAGGGAATTTTAACAATCAGGTTGTTTGACAAAGTAAAATCACAGCCAGTACTGGGTGCGAGGCAGGATCCGATAGTGAGAACAAAGCACAGGAATAGGCATCCAACCACTTGGGTCCTTAAAGGTGGGTGCATCTTCCACTGATTATAAGAGTTCCATTGTTAAGGCAAGACACAGCCAGAACAACAGAAGGAACATGTAGCATTAGGATGCATCACCTGCACTCCATCCTAAATGGACCATATAGTACATACAAAGTGATGCCATGGGTGGCACCGTGCATACCCAAGGATGTATGGAGAAATCACCAGCACTCACAAAATCTGAAGACGTTGGGAAGACGGTGTGGGAAATTCGGACAATCTCCTATGGAGCCGATAGCTGAGGTCACACTAGGTACCCCCCTTTCGGTTTAGATCAAGGTATGTATGATTCCTGTACTAACAGGCCAATATGCAATATATATAGGATCTGGCGGCAGGGTGGGCTTGGAAACAAACGGGGAGTGAGTTGTGGTGGGGAGGTAGATGCGGTGGTTTGGGGTGGGGTGGGGTTGGTAGTTTTATTTGAAGTGGTTGGGTGGGATAGAGAAACAATGGAGGGTGCACCTGGCTGGCTAGGATAGGCTAGCAGATGATGATAGGTAGTCATACACCACTTTTTTTTCTTGATTTTCTCTTTTTTTACAGATATATATCACTTAAACCAACATTATGTTATTATGTTTTTTTGCATAACACTGCGGATGATCCACTCGCAGTAGGGAGACTGGAAATGTGGAACAAACATGAAACTTTCTATCACCTGACTTATTATTATACACATAGGTTACATTCAGGCCGGTTCACACCTGGGCGTTTTGTAGCGCGTTTGAACGCTCTGCAAAATGCTCAAACACCGAAATCCCATTATTTCCTATGGGCATGGTTCACACCTGGGCGTATTACAGGCCGGATGAACGCGCTACAAAACGTCCTACGCCCAAAGAAGTACAGGAGCTTCTTTGGGGCGTTTTTGTTGCGCGTTTCCATTGGGATACAGCCAAGTAGCCCTCTGAAAAGCGCGTTTGTCGCACGTTTTTTTTTACCGGTAAAAACGCGCGTCACGGAACGCGTGACAAACGCGCATATTCGATACGCCTAGGTGTGAACCCAGAAAAAATGGTACATGCATGAATCCATAACCGGCCTTTATAGCAGGGCGCACATTGGGAAGGCTTACAACAATAGAAAACACAAAAATTCCCCAGCCTCAGCCTGCCAGCCAGCCTGCAACCAAACAAGTAGCCCTGTCAACAGTATGCGTTAAAATCAGAGGTTTTAGTTGCACAAACTTTTGGCCAAAAATATGTAGAAGCCACACTGCCGCGCCAAGGCACCTCTGCAAAGTGTGGTCCTAACTCTATGTATCCGAGTCTCCAAGTGTGAGCATATTAATGAAGTTGATAAATTACATGCAGGTGTACCTGGAGGTAGCCAACTCCTCCTGATAAGGTGCAGGGACGCACTGGAGGCCCAGCAACCAAAAATGCACGCTGGGACTCCAGTGCGTCCCCCTAATCCAAAATAGTCAAACTAGAAAAAATGGTACATTCATGAATCCATAACCGGCCTTAATAGCAGGGCGCACATTGCTATTAAGGCATTTGTTTTTTTATCTCAGGCATTTCCGACGCATTATTGTTAAACACCGGTCCCCTGAAGAAGCTAAATTTGCGAAACGCGTTGGGATCATCAGGACAATCATATTAATTATGCAATCGGATTATGTAATTTTGAACAATAATGATTATTGGGACTGTCATGCCGGTTATGTATTTGGATTATGTAATTTTGATTATTATGGCTTTTACTATGTACAGATAGAAGCAATTGGCTTGAGACTGCATTTTATGTTTAATACATTTTGATATCATTTTTACATATGCATTGGTCGCACATATCTAGAGCTGCAGCTAACGATTATTTTCAAAATCGATTAGTTAGCCGATTATTAAGTTCGATTAATCGGTTAATCGGATAAACACAAAAAAAAAATCAAAAATGGCTCCAGTGATGGGACTACTAGTTTGTATTGAGATTGTAGTCCATCACAGGAGCAAGCTTGGAGCGGTGGAAAAAAATAGTGTGGTGTGCAATATAGTGAAAAGGAAAGTGTAAAATTATACAGCAATGAATGCAGAATTGCACCGGCTATAGAGGACTACAAATCCCAGCAATAGTACATTATACAGCACAATGCAGAATACCACCAGCTATAATGTACTATTGCTGGGATTTGTAGTCCTCTATACAGTGCAGTGCAGAATATCACCAGCTATATAGGAATACAACAAATCCCAGCAATACATTATACATACAGTGTATAATGTATTGCTGGATGTGTATTCCTATGTATAATATACAGCACAATGTACCATAAGCTATAGAGGAATACAAATCCCAGCAATACATTATACATACAGTGTATAATGTATTGCTGGATGTGTATTCCTATGTATAATATACAGCACAATGTACCATAAGCTATAGAGGAATACAAATCCCAGCAATACATTATAGAGCACCATGTGTGGGAAGTGCAGGCTTACCTGAAGTGACCTGGAAGTGCAGTCTTCCAGCAACTTGCTTCTGAGATCGGACCTGTCTATCAGCGGCTGTCATCCCCCCACACCTGCTCCTCCTTAATACATCTCCCTGCGTCCCTGTGCCAATCGTGGATGTGGGCGGGCGGTGAGTGTGAGGCGGGGAGGAGGTGCGGCGTGGATGCGGGCGGGTCTGGCAGCGGCGAGCGTGAGGTGGGGAAGAGGTGCGGCGCGCAGCTTGTGTGGAGCCGTGAACAGGGCCAACTGATCGGAAGCCGATTAATCGATTATTGAAAAAGTTGACAACTTTTTCAATAATCGATTATAATCGATTATGTCGATTAGTTGTTGCAGCCCTACACATATCTCTCCACAAACCCTCTTTTTTCCCCTCTATTTTTCTATATTCAATGTATTTGAGGGGGAGAGGTAGTACAGGGGGCCTAGTTTGAGGCAATCCACGATTTTTCTTTTAGTCTAAGAATTTATTGTCACATGCGTCAAATACTGTTTCGGGGGCCACGCAGGATCCCTTCCTCAGGGCGACATAGTGACTATTCAGATGTCTTCAGATTTTGTGGTGCTGGCGATTTCTCCATACATCCAACAGAAGGAACAGACCACTTCTGAACAAAATCCTCACTAAACAAATACAAAGTCAGAAATCACTTAGGGGGAGCAAACAACCCATTAAGTCACAGCACAGGCAGAAGCAACAGGCTGATCCTCTACCTCAGTGGTTCTCAACCTTTCTAGGGCCGGGACCCCTTGGTAACATTTGCCAAGTTGTGGTGACCCCCAACGGTAAAATTTAGGGATGACGCGGCTGCTGCAGCAACATCTGGCGGCGTGGCGGGAGAACTGACACTGCTGCGCTAGGAGAGGGCTGAGGAGGACTCTCACCTAGCACAGCAGAAATCACACAGCGACCCCACAGGTTGAGAACCACTGCTTAAAGGAGACAACGAATCCCAGAGGAATACAACAAATTGCAGCAATAGTCCATTATACTATAATTTTCTATTGCTGGGATTTGTAGTCCTCTGTAGCTGGTGTTATTCTGCGTTGCGCTGTATAATGTACTGTTGCTGGGATTTGTAGTCCTCTGTAGCTGGTGGTATTCTGTATTGCGCTGTATATAATGTATTATTGCTGGGATCTGATGTATTCCTGATGTGCTCGAACGAGCAGAGTAAACCTTTCCGGGAGAAAGTGTTTCTCTCCCGGGCAGCCGGGAGCCGCTAGTCGACCCCTGGTAAATCGCCATTCGACCCCCGGGGGGGTCGCGACCCACAGGTTGAGAACCTCTGCTCTAGCTTTAAGGTGGTGTGCACTGCATCAAGAAGAGCCAAAACAGTCTCCTTGAACTTGGTAGTAGTAGACTGCGACTCCTCAGGGGTAAGCTCATCAGACGAACTGGGTGATTAGAGAGGAGCACAGGAGCGCACTTGTGGCCTTCACAATCAGAGTAAAAAATTAACTGGGTGAGAGGACCCAGCCACTGTTAGTACACCTGTTAGCTGCGGCGCGCAGCATGTGTGGAGCCGTGAACAGGGCCAACTGATCGGAAGCTGATTAATCGATTATTGAAAAAGTTGACAACTTTTTCAATAATCGATTATAATCGATTATGTCGATTAGTTGTTGCAGCCCTACACATATCTCTCCACAAACCCTCTTTTTTCCCCTCTATTTTTCTATATTCAATGTATTTGAGGGGGAGAGGTAGTACAGGGGGCCTAGTTTGAGGCAATCCACGATTTTTCTTTTAGTCTAAGAATTTATTGTCACATGCGTCAAATACTGTTTCGGGGGCCACGCAGGATCCCTTCCTCAGGGCGACATAGTGACTATTCAGATGTCTTCAGATTTTGTGGTGCTGGCGATTTCTCCATACATCCAACAGAAGGAACAGACCACTTCTGAACAAAATCCTCACTAAACAAATACAAAGTCAGAAATCACTTAGGGGGAGCAAACAACCCATTAAGTCACAGCACAGGCAGAAGCAACAGGCTGATCCTCTACCTCAGTGGTTCTCAACCTTTCTAGGGCCGGGACCCCTTGGTAACATTTGCCAAGTTGTGGTGACCCCCCACGGTAAAATTTAGGGATGACGCGGCTGCTGCAGCAACATCTGGCGGCGTGGCGGGAGAACTGACACTGCTGCGCTAGGAGAGGGCTGAGGAGGACTCTCACCTAGCACAGCAGAAATCACACAGCGACCCCACAGGTTGAGAACCACTGCTTAAAGGAGACAACGAATCCCAGAGGAATACAACAAATTGCAGCAATAGTCCATTATACTATAATTTTCTATTGCTGGGATTTGTAGTCCTCTGTAGCTGGTGTTATTCTGCGTTGCGCTGTATAATGTACTGTTGCTGGGATTTGTAGTCCTCTGTAGCTGGTGGTATTCTGTATTGCGCTGTATATAATGTATTATTGCTGGGATCTGATGTATTCCTGATGTGCTCGAACGAGCAGAGTAAACCTTTCCGGGAGAAAGTGTTTCTCTCCCGGGCAGCCGGGAGCCGCTAGTCGACCCCTGGTAAATCGCCATTCGACCCCCGGGGGGGTCGCGACCCACAGGTTGAGAACCTCTGCTCTAGCTTTAAGGTGGTGTGCACTGCATCAAGAAGAGCCAAAACAGTCTCCTTGAACTTGGTAGTAGTAGACTGCGACTCCTCAGGGGTAAGCTCATCAGACGAACTGGGTGATTAGAGAGGAGCACAGGAGCGCACTTGTGGCCTTCACAATCAGAGTAAAAAATTAACTGGGTGAGAGGACCCAGCCACTGTTAGTACACCTGTTAGCAGAAAGTGTGCTGGGGACACCCGATAAGGGTTACAGCTCTGACACGAGGAAGCAAAGCCCTGCCTCTACCAAGATGGCCAACTCCACGGTAAGTCATTAGTAGAGGAAAGATCACACAGGAAGCCCACAGGCAACATCGGTAGCTAGACCTTCGTTCTCGCTTGCTTCTTGGCGTAGCTCCCACAGAACAAGTCTTTAAAGTAATCACAACTGCAAATATCCTTATTGCATAAAAGTTGTATACACACAGTATACTATTTTACAAATCCTCCACAGCCGGTCATCTATCTCTGCTCTAGGGGTACTGACACTTATACAGATTTAGCTAGTCAGCAGCTCTGCTCAAAAAGTAAAATCCTACCCCTTCCCCTACAGCAAAAGGCCATATTACCAATGCCGTGGCATTGGTCACATGATGCCCCCCGATTACAGGATTACCGTATAGGTTTGGCTTTAAAAATGATTCATTAAAGGAGAACTATGAGGTGAGTGCTTTTCACTCATCCTCATAGTTCTAGCCGACCTGTGACAATGAGACTGTCACAGGTCGGCTCAGTAGATCGGGAGGTGAGCGAACACATACCGGCGTTCGCTCACCTCTTGATCCGGTCACGGCTCTCTGCCGTGACAGCGGAGGGGCTGGATTCCCCCCTCCCTGCTCCGATCCGCCAGCGCTGACTGGCGGAACGGACGGGGGAGGGGGCGGGTATAGCTGGCTCTGCCTCTAGATAGGCAGAGCCAGCTGTCAGTCAAGCAGCTGGGCGGATCCCGGCATAATTGTCGGGATCCGCTTCAGCGTCTCAGTATACCGCGAGATACAGCTTGCGGTATACTGAGCCTAGGATGACGGGAGGATGCTAGTTTGTGTCCTCCCGTTACCCTAAGGAGAACTATGGGGAAAAGCCCTGACCCCATAGTTCTCCTTTAATCATTGTTATATTTGTATGGGACAGACACCGTATTCTCCTCAGGGATATATGCCACAACCTAATACAACATATTTTCCTTTGTACAAGTTACTTATTTCTAAATCCAAATCTCTGATTTTGTAAGAAGAGAGTCAATATAATACAAGCAGACACCCAGTGACCTTACTTCTAATGATTTACAGCAGCCCGACAGTGAGATTTTGCTCTAGGGAAGCAATGCATTTTCTTTGTACCTTGCAGACAGTGGTGATTTCCTCCCGAGGCCAATGGCCCCCAGAATCCCAGACGTCATCCTTTCCTCACCCAGAAAGCACAGCTTGCTTTGAAAAGACAATAGTATTCGTATAATGGTATCAGTCACTGTGCTGTCATTTTGTTCCACCTGGATCAGAGACAGCTGGAGAGTTTTGTGGAACCACAGGAAGAGCTTGGGCTCCTCATTCACAGAGCTGCAGGAACAGAAACAACAGTATTAGGCTACATAAAAAATAATAATAATCAAAACTTGTGAAAAAAGTGTTTTCTTCTATTTTTTTTCCTCATTTTTTTTATTTTATTCAAACTAAGTGAGGGGCTAGGTACACATATGTGATATAATTATATAGCCCTATCTGTCCTCTAAAAAACTATATATAATATGTGTGGGTACATTTAGTAAGAAAGTATATTACTGCTGTGGAAGAATCACACAGCAAAAATGTAAAAAATGTGTCAGTCATTTATGAACAGAACCTGAAAACTAGCTCAATCATGAAGGGGTTAAAGCATAATTCAAAGCATCTTTTTTTAAATACATGCATACTTTTTGCATTATCCATATTTTAGGTTATATATCAGAATATTGAAGCAAGAGGACTACAATGAGGTGGTAAATGTGTGTCAACCTAGGAAGGCTCCTACCGTGGCTGCGCTTGCTCCAGCCACTTGGAGATTCTCACCAGTACCCTCAGCTCATTGGGCAGGGTCTGTTCTCGGTTCAAACACTGCAGGACATAGACATGGAGAGTCAGGTAGCTGCCGAGGGTCAGGCATTCCTGCAGAAACTCCTCAGTGGTGAGCTCTGGCACTTGCAGTGATGCCAGTATCGGACCCCAGCCCGGGTTCTGGATGTGGAGGGTCTCTATAACAAGGCAAAACGGCAGAGTGTCAATGTGTCCTTTAACACAATTTTTAAATCAGCTACAGCAACGTTCGCAGCGTATATATATGTATATAAATATATCTATATATAAAATCTTTTAATAGATTTTTCAGGCACACACACAGGAAATTTGCAAAGGGACGGTGGAGGTCTGCTCAGCTAAACAAGCATAAACAATTCGTCCCCACACAGCTACCTCCTCATGTATCACTTCCCCCTCCCTTTTAGATTGCAAGCCATCAGGGGCAGGGCCCTCCTTACCATCTTGTCTTGAATTGTATTGTGATTGTAATGTCTTCCTTATATTGTAATTCCAGAGAACATTGTGTCCCCCTGCACTCCCTACAGTCATTAGAGGGTAGAAATCACCAGCACTCCATAAGTAAAGCTCAAAAAGTACCGTCCATTTAACTGGACCAAATGTCACAAATATCGCAAAATCCAACGTTTCGGGACCGCGCAGGGTCCCTTCATCAGGGCAGAGATGTGACGTAATATTGTAAAGCGCTGCACAAACTGTTGGCACTATATAAATCCTGTATTATTATAATAATAATAATAATAATAACAGACCAAACTGTTTTTTTGACAATGGTATTGTTTCTCCATTATTCGTATCCAGCTTATTACTCACAATGGGATATTGTTATGAGGACATTTTACGCAGACTTGTTTGACTGTTGTTGGCATTTATGGTACTATGCTGCCATCTAGGGTTGGGAAAAAGTGAGATACATCTGGCATAGGTCCTAACACAAGTGTTAAGAGGCAATGCCCACAGGTGGGCTGCCAACGTATCTAATAAAAAGCCAGCAGCTCAAAGCGAGTTGAGGACTTCACAATAGAACTCTGACCAAGTGAGACTTCAGAGGGACTTCACCATGCCAAGAGGGGACTTCACAATGCAAACACACCATGGAATTTTGACAAAGGAGGACGTCACTGAAAAAAGGGACTTTGTAACCAGAAGCCATTTTTCCTGAGAACACTTAAAGGAGAACTATGGGGTCAGTGTTTTTCCCCATAGTTCTCCTTAGGGTAACGGGAGGACACAAACTAGCGTCCTCACATCACCCTAGGCTCAGTATACCGGGAGCTACAGCTCACGGCAGAGAGCCGTGACAGGACGGCAGAGAGCCGTGACAGGATCGAGAGGTGAGGGAACCCGGTATGTGTTCTCTCACCTCCCGATCTACTGAGCCGACCTGTGACAGTCTCATTGTCACAGGTCGGCTAGAACTATGAGGTGAGTGGAAATCACTCATCTCATAGTTCTCCTTTAATTGCCACAAAGTCCTGTTCTTTACAGAATTTGCAACTGGAAGCCATAACTGTATCCTCTTATAGAAACTATTCCATGTACTAGAAAGGATAGTGTAGTCGGTGTATGCGTATGTATGTGTATGTATGTTGCAGCAGCCTGTATGTTTGTATTGTACTGCTTTTCCTGTAACTAGGTTTGTTTACACAGCATTTTTGCCTAGTAAAGTACGTCAAATGCTACTGGATCAGTTTCCTTGAGCTTTACTGAAGAATCAGACAACAAATATCTGTAAAAGTAAATCAAAGCATTACATTTGGTGGCTCGTCCTTTTGATAAGCATTACATTTGGGGGCTCGTCCTTTTGATAAGCATTACATTTGGGGGCTCGTCCTTTTGATAAGCATTACATTTGGGAGCTCATCCTTGGGATAAGTAAAACACAACTGGAATTTATAATGCACACCAAGTGCACCCAAAAGTGATATTTAGATAAACGTGGATAAAGTCTGACCCCAAATTCTTAGATGTTTCGCATATTCTAATAAAAAGATCTCCCTGCCATAATTCCTAATTCTTTTACTGCCCAACTGCGAGTTTTAGGTGTCCCCGGCCACTTTTGCGTCCCAGCAACTCCTGTTACAATCTCTACAACAGTAAATAAATAATTATGGTAGCGAGAGTGGGAGCTCTTCATAATGGGCACAATAGGTGTACACAGGGCTCAACATTTCAAGTCCTGAGCTACTAGCCAGGCCTTAAAAGATACTAGCCACCAGTTGCCCCACCTAACCCTGCCCCGTCCTTAACTCCGCCCCTAAACACACCCTCTTAAATAATCTTATGATAATTCTTATCTTATGATAGCTGCTGCTTGTAAACGGCAGATTAGGGGATCCCGCGATCGTACGATAATCGTCAGGTGTATGGGCAGCGTGCGACCGCTTCTACTGTAAGGTCGTACGACTCTCGTCTTCCAGTCTTCCAAGCACGCTGGAAAACCTGCCGAAAATCGTACGATTTTTGGCGGGTTGGTGGCGTGGTCGCACACTGCCCGCTCAGCACTGCAATCATCGGAAGGCCTCCCCTTCAGCAAGTACGATCTGCCCATCTCGGACAAACTAAGCCAGAGCTGACAGGAGCTGCTCTGTGGTCTGCATCCGACACAGATGCAGACCGTGTGCCTGACATGTCAGCTGGCTGCGGGCCACATAGTACCGGCTAGCGGGCCGGAGTTGGCCTGCGGACCGGTACTTGGAGACCCAAATTTCCACATTTTGAGCCCTGGGTGTACAGACTCGGGAACTCAAGAGTCTGAGAATTTTATTTTTATTGGTATTTATATAGCGTCAGCAATTTACGCAGCGCTTTACACAGTGCACATTCACATCAGTCCCTGCCCTCAAGGAGCTTACAATCCAAGGTCCCTATCTCACACTCATACATACGAGGGCCAATTTAGACAGGAGCCAAATTTACCTTCCAGCATGTCTTTTGAGTGTGAGAGGAAACAGGAGTAGCCCGAGAAAGCCCACGCAAGCACAGGGAGAACATGCAGACTTCTTGTAGATAGAGACCTGGCTGGGTTTTGAACCTGGAATCCCCAGTGCTGCAAGGCAGAAGAGCTAACTACTACGCCACCGAATGCAGAGATCTAGCTAGTAGATTCCCTAGCTAGCATCAACCAAACACGGAAATATGTATGGGTGGACTGACCCTTAAAAAATAATTGAAAGTCAGCTTACCATCCTTAAAGTAGGAGAGGATGCAGGCTTCAGTGGCCTCTGCCATGTGCTTGATGGAGGCCAGACTCTGACAAGCTGCGGTCAGCAGAGGCATGACCATCAGGCCTTGTACACTAGAGTCAATCCACTTGATTAGGGCCTCTCGTAGTGACTCAGCTGTGGTCACGCTGGCATTGTTCATTAGCATCAGCAGCTCCATGAAGAGACTGCTCACTGCCATGTGACGCTTTTGCAACTCCATATCTGAAAGACAGCCGGGGATCATTTCCCTTCTTGGTCATACAGTTTTGTTATTTTCCATGAATAAGATAGTAAATATAATCGAGCAAGCATTTAAAGTGGACCTGAACTCAAATAGTAAAAACATGCCATCTTACAGTGAACGCCTAGAAATGTTAAATGTGCTGAAATTGTACCTTGAAAAATCTACTATTAGTCTTCAATTACTTCCTCCTAGCAGGGCACTTCCTGTTTTGTAAGCTTAAAGCAGTGTGAGATCATCTAAGGCACTCCTATATCCCTGACTGCTAGTCTCAGTAAAGGTTGAGTGAGATCTGGTGATGTCACTACTTTGCTGATCACTGTTCTCCTTGCTGGAGATAAAGCTGTTCCTGTGGGCCTGCAGTGCAAGATTCTCCACGCTTCTGCTTTATCCATTCTGTGGATCTTCTGGCATAGGTTATAATACAAGTGTTATGGGGCAATGCCCACAGGTGGGCTGTCAATTTTTCTAATAAAAAGCCAGCAGCTCAAAGTGAGTTGAGGACTTCACAATAGAACTCTGAACAAATGGGACTTCAGAGGGACTTCACCATGCCAAGAGGGGACTTCACAATAGAAGTCGGACCAAGGGAGACTTTAGAGAGACTGCGCTTCCTTCACCTCTCCTGCTACTTCTTGAATAATTCTCCATCAGTGGGCAGCTAGGACATGAGGAAGCAAAACCCTGAACCTCTATGAAGATGGCCAACAAGGAATGGCAAGTCAGTAATGGGAAAAGATCAGCTGTAGATTAGCTATTCGCTGGGCACATCTTTCTCCGTAAGAGTCCTTTTTAAAGGGCAAGAAAACTAGAAGAGTAATCAGGAAAGAACTCCCTTGCGTCACATTTTGCGTTCAGGCCCTCTTTAAATGAAAGAAAATAAGTAATAATGCAGTAAACTCACCCGGTGGGCTGAAAATGGAAATGTCGTCCAGCAATTTGCACATCTCTTGCTCTAGGGCTGAGATGCTGATTTTGTTGCTCTGTTCCAAAGAGCCCAAAAACTGAACCATCTGCTGGACAAATATTCGACACTTGGGAGTCACATCCTAGAGAAGAGTGAAAACATCAATACGCTGGATGGTTGAGTCATGTCAGTCTAATAACTAATATCACAGTTTTAATCAAAAGTGGTGAAGCTGGAGCCATTCCTTCTACTGACAGCGATCTTTCCTTAAAGGGTCAGGAGACCTTCCTGCCATAATTCCTGACTCACTTCCCTTGGAGTTTTGGGTGTTTCTGCCTACCTCTGTGAGCTCCAGCTTCTCCTGTTAAATGCCTCATGATATAAAATAAATACAAAATCCAGAAGTGAGAATGGGAGTCCCTTATAACGGGCACAGAAGGTGTTTATACACAGCATCGATAAAGCCACTGAGCTATAGAAGAGGCTGTCAAATGCTCCAACATATGAGCAGAGCCCTCATACCTCCTGTTCACTGTCAGAATATAAGCTTGAGACTATAATTCTTCCTTTTCCCTTTTAGACTGTAAGCTGTAATGAGCAGGACCCTCATATCTACTACATCTATTAGACTGTAAGCTGTAATGAGCAGGACGCTCATATCTACTACATCTATTAGACTGTAAGCTGTAATGAGCAGGACGCTCATATCTACTACATCTATTAGACTGTAAGCTGTAATGAGCAGGACGCTCATATCTACTACATCTATTAGACTGTAAGCTGTAATGAGCAGGGGCCCTGATGCCTTCTTTTCCCTATACGACTTTAAGCTGTAATGAGCAGGACCCTCATATCTCCTATGTCCATTAAACTGTACACTTTAATGAGCAGGACCCTCACACCTCCTATTCTCCATTAGATATAAGCTGTAATGAGCAGGACCCTCATATCTTGTATGTCTAATAAACTATAAGCTGTAATGCGCAGGGGCCCTGATGCCCCCTGTTCCCAATATTACTCTAAGCTGTAATGAGCAGGTCCCTCATACCTCCTGCTGACTATTAGACTGTACACTGTAATGAGCAGGTCCCTCATACCTCCTGCTCACTATCACACTGTACACTGTAATGAGCAGGACCCTGTTACCTATTACACTGTAATGAGCAGGACCCTCATACTTCATGTTCTCTATTAGACTGTACACTGTAATGAGCAGGTCCCTCATACCTCCTGCTGACTATTAGACTGTACACTGTAATGAGCAGGTCCCTCATACCTCCTGCTCACTATCACACTGTACACTGTAATGAGCAGGTCTCTCATACCTCCTGCTCACTATCACACTGTACACTGTAATGAGCAGGACCCTGTTACCTATTACACTGTAATGAGCAGGACCCTCATACTTCATGTTCTCTATTAGATTTACATTGTAACAATCAGGACCCTCACGCCTCTTTTTCCCTAAACATTTTCAGGTGTAATAAGCAGAACCCTCACACCTAAAGGTCGCTATTGGACTGTAAGGCACAATGAGTAGGACCCTCATAGCTCTCATACATGGTAAACTGTAACATACAGAACACAATGTTACTATGTAAAAAACAAGAAACATTAATAGTAGATGGCTGCTTGCACTCACGGAATAGATGCTGCATTCAGGGAAGGAGGTGAGCCCAGCGGAGACACGCAGCAACTTCAGAAGGAGCTCATCTGCCAGGTGGGTGCTCAGGATGACGGAAGGTGGATAATGGCTGCTGAAATATCCAATGATGTTCTGGTATGACACGGCGTCCACCAGGTGCCACGACAAGGTGCCAGCTTGTCCTAAGAGATTGATCAGTGGAGTTCCCTGTCCAACGTAAAGATGTCAGTAGTGATTTACAGAGAAGCTGGAAAGGTCTGGAGCAAAATAGATTAACAGACAATGCAACAAAATAAAACACAATAAACAGCGCTCTCTCTTTAAAAAGAACCTACAGTACTTAACACTTCAATGTCCAGAGCACAATGCTTACCGGTGCCTCAGCTTTAGAGAACTTCGCTGCACCCCATTTTCAGCCAAATTCACCACAGATCTGCTTTAACATTTAAAGTGACACTAAACTCAGGAGTTAAATCGTAAGAATGCATCCAAGTAACTTAACTATTAACAAAACTATCTTATGTGTGTATCACTCAGCTGTAGATCCTCCAATCATCTCTGAATTGGTGCTGACACTGTCCTTCCTTCTGGAGGGGGCTACTTTTGTTCCCCATGGTCCTTGTGTGTGTTGTAAAGTAGTCACCACTCCAAGCTCACTCCCGGGATGGACTACAATCTCAATACAAATGAGTAAACTAAACATTAGATTGTAGTCCATCCCGGAAGCGAGCTTGCAGTGGTGACTACTTTACAACACACACAGGGACCATGGGGAACAAAAGTAGCCCCCCCCCTCCAGAAGGAAGGACAGTGTCATCACCAATTCAGAGATGATTTGAGGATCTACAGCCGAGTGATACACAAATAAGATACATTTTCATTAAAAGTTAAGGTACTTGGATGCATTTTTACGATGTAACTCCTGAGTTTAGTGTCACTTTAACATTAAGATTTTAGATTCACATAATTTCAGCCAATCAGGGAAGGAGAGATGGTGTCATTGTACCCAAGCAGATGTCTGAAGCTAAAGTTGATATTTACACAGGTTTTGCACAGCTGCTTTATAGGGCTTGCTAGAGAGGAGGAGTGACACAAAAGAGAGAGAAACAAAGAGTCTACAAGAGCCTCTATGCACAAGTAGTTAGATGGGATAACACAAGGTATTGTATAGTTAATTTAAAGGTGGAACTGCAGGATTCCCACAACCCGGTATTTATTAAAAACCCTATATATATATAGCTTTTTTCCTCCAAATCTTTTTGCCGGTCCTCTGATGGAGACCCTGGCTCTTCTTCTTTCGGCAGCAGTGGGAGGTAGGCAATCTCTTCCAGAACTGAGCAGCACACATGTAATGGCATTTGAGCGTTACCCAGTCCTGGAGTACTGGGAGCCCAGCCTGTGTGCTGATGTGTCCTCCTGATGTTCCCGAGTGTGTAAATGAAAGGCTGGGCTCCCATGGAATGGCGCTAATGAGGACTGCTGGCGCTGTATCAAGGAGGAAGTTCGGGACAGTGCTGGAGAGTGGAGGGTAAGTAAAGAATGGCACTATTGGGGGGGCGGGACTAATAAGGTTGGTGGGTGGTTAAAGCCAGTTTCACCCAGGTTTATTTTACCGTATTTAACGATTCCCATACCCAGTCATCTAAAGAAATTATAATCTATCATTTGACTAGGATTCTTTAAATTCTCAGCAAAAGCCAGTTACCATGAGCTGAAATACCACACCCAAGACAGTAATACAATGTACGTGTCATTATAGAGAAGTCATAATACTTACAGGCTCATTGATGAGCTTTTCCTCTTTAGTGAGGAAGACCATCATAAAGAGGAGACAGACCAGCATGCGGTGCGTTTCCGGGCGAGGAACGGGACCCCAGGCATCTGCCAGGACACTCATCCAGTTCACGTCACACAGCACGGCTCCCAGGAAGAGGAAGCAACTCTTTGGACTACCTCTCTCCACCTAGCAGACGAGAACAAGCATTGGGATAAGGATGCAGGAAGTGATGTACGCAAAATCAGAGGGTGGCTGGGAATAATCAGTTCATGTTGGTTTAAAGCAGTGGTTGTCAACTTACAAGATGTAGGGGGTCTCAACTGTGGCCCCTGACAACTCCAAGGGGCCGGACATTATTATTATGCAGGATGGAGATGGAAAGCAGGAGGTCTTGGGAAGAGCGGAGGGGACGGTTAGGGTGATACCTTGAGACCAGGTTTGAGATATAGCCGGTGGAAGAGTTGTGGATGGCTTTCTAAGTCATTGTTTATATTTTGAATTTTATACTTTGGGCTATCGAAAGCCAGTGCAGGGATTGGCAGAGTGGGGGTGGGGGATGGAAGCCAGTGCAAGGATTGGCAGAGGGAGGCGGGGGATGGAAGCCAGTGCAGGGATTGGCAGAGGGGGGTTGCAGACACTGAGCGGTTGGTTAGTTGAATAAGTCTGGCAGCAGCATTCATGATAGACTGAAGGGGGGATATCCTGGGTAGAGGTCGGCCAATGAGGAGGGAGCTACAATAGTCGAGATAAAAGATAACAAGGGAGTGGATGAGCGGCTTTGTGGTTTCATTGGTGAGGAAGGGGCGTATTTTGGAGATGTTACGAAGGTGAAGGCGGCAGGATCTGGATAGGGATTGGATGTGGGGAAGAAAAGTGAGGTCCGAGTCAAGGATGACACCTAGGACCTTGGCATGGGGGGAGGGTTGGATAGTTGTGTTCTCAATTATGATTGAAAAGTTGTGGGAGGGTGCGACATAATATTCAGTATACAACAGAAGACTGTCAGAGGCCTTAGGCATATTAGAGGAGACAATCGGAAACCAAAGACATGCAACAGGGGTGGCTGGAGACTGAAGACACACTACAGGAGATGGTCATAGACTGTGGACATGGGGTCTGCAAAGGGCAAGCAGCAAAGGGCCCTTGTGATGCAGGTTGAGCACTAGGGGTTAAGAGTGCCATTATGTAATTGGAGAGCAGGAAGAGGCAAGACGGGAACAAGCAATAGGTAAGTGACCCCAGTGAAGGTGTCTACCATCAACGGACAGAGGGGACAATAAAGCAAACAAATACCATTACAGCCAGATAGCCAGGCTGTGACCAGACAGACAGGCAATGGACATCATTATATAGCCAGCAAGTGATCTCAGCTACAGCCGGCAATGGTCAGCACAATACTCACATATTTTAGCTCTGCAGCTTCCTGTGTCATCTGCCTGCACACATTCAGAAGCATCACACCCCTGATTCCTACTCCAATAAGCAAACAGGTGACACAGGAAGCTGAAAGGTGGGAATTTGAGGTGTCACTCTTCCATCTATGCGGTGTGGCGAAGCCTAGTGGATCAGAAGACTGCCTGAACACTATTATAAATACTTTGGCAGGTAAAAAAAAATTAAATATGTATTTCGAGTAAGTTTTAAGGCGTTTGCCTGGAGTGCCACTTTAAATAAAAATCACTTACTTTGAAGAATTCTTCCATTAGGGTCTGGTCGGGGTACATGTCCTTCCAGGGCAGCTTTATGTACTCTGCGTGGTAGGCATATAGGATGTACTCTGGGCTCATGGGGGCAGTACAGGATTCACAATAGTGCATTAGGTGCAGCCACAGTGCCCCTCGCTGGCCTGGCAGCAGGTGATCTGTAAGGAGGTCATAGAAAGAGTTCATATACACACTCTATATATAAATCACATTAAGACCCCGCCCCCACTCAGCGTTGCGGAAGCACGCGGGCAAAAACAGTTTGTGTTATCGGCTGCGTTTGGGTTGCCATCAGCAAGTAATGTTGCTGCAAGCATTTTTTAAAAGTGTTGCATTTACGTGTGCCAGTGTGCGTGCATACATGCAATTGGATAATGTGAATGGGGACACATAACAGATGAACTTCTGGCCGAGGAGGATAGAAAGGAGAGGGCGACATGGAGGAGTGCAGAGGTGGTGAAAAAAGAGAGGGGGGGATGTGGGGTATGGGAGAGGAGGTGGAGAGAGAGGTGGGGGTGGGAAAGGAAAGGAAAGGAGAGACAGAAAAAGTCAGAAAGAGAAATAAGGAGGGGTGGAGAAAGTGCAGGATACAGAGAACAGGTGAACTAAGGGACAATATAAGCGTCTTAGCACTATACTCACCCTGGAACTTCTGGTGTAGGGTGAGAATACAATCAGAAAACAGTTGGACCATTGCCATTGCGGTGGGGGTGTCACTCTCAAGCCAGGGGTAACAGCGCTGAGTGCTGAAATAAAAAAAGAATTAAGGAAGTCAATGGGGTGTATGATTTCTTCTATTTCTTACTTAACAGGAAATAACATTAATATCACCCAGCCACAGGAGCTTTCCCACCGCTATTTGCTGCTCACATAACATATCTGTCCAAATTCAGATACTGGGATTAGGGCTGCAACCAACTAATTGATTAATTGGTAATGGGAATAGTTATCAACTATTCTCATGATGGATTAGTTGGTTGGATCCCCTAGTTCTCTCCTCCATGCTGGGAGGAGGGCACAGCAAGCGGTGGGTGGGTGCAATAGCCAGCCTGCTATTGGCTATTGCAATTTGAAGTGGCCTATAGCAGGTTGTCTATTGCACCAGCCCACTACCTGCTGTATGTACATTCAGCTGCCGTCTGCGGAATCCACTGGTAGCCGTCATTCCCTGGCTGCAGCTATTCAAGCTCCACGTGCTTACAAATACAATTAGTAAAAAAAATAATAAAAGGTGGGAAAAAAGTCATTTTCGGGTTTGGGCCTGACAAGTTCTGCTGCGGGAGGTTCGTTGCAGTGCCCCAAATGCGCCTCCTACCTACAGTGTGATCGTGCGCTGGACCGCACGGTACCGTGATGCCGTGCGTTCCAGTGCAGTGTGATTGCAAAGAAAAGTTTTATCCTGAAGTAAACTTTACGTGTGTAACACCTAATTGGTGTATTTTATTTTGGTATACCAAGGGATGGTATTTCGTTTTTTTTATACGATTAATTGAAAAATACAAATCGGTCAACTAATTGATTATGAAAATGATTATTAGTTGCAGCCCTAATTGGAATTTTTAACTAATTAAACGCCTGGTAGAAATAAGAGCGGGATGCTTCAACCCAGGTGTTTCTCTCATGGTTTTGAAACAGCATCCGGCCAATCAGCAGAATCTGCCCAGTGCAGAAATGAATGAGCTCAGTACGGTCCAAGCTCAGAGACACTGCGTTGCCTGTCCAGTTTTCGCGCAGGCTTTGCTCACAGCTATTGTATATAAAGCAACTAAGCTCCTGTTCAGTAGATGGAGGCAGATGCTCAGTTTTGGCACTCAAGGAGGTAGAACATGGTTAACCACTGACACGGACAACAGCATCTGAGCGAGCTCTGCCAGGAGAGCCCTCAGGTCTGCATGCTGGATATCGAGGTCCATAAATCAGCCTCTGGTGACCAGCACAAACCAGTCACAAACTATTAGTAACGTCATTACTAAAATACAAATGTACCAAGCAGCCAAAGGAGACATACCTGCTCTCTACTGAATCCAAAACCATCAGCCAGGGTTTGAAAAGCTCCGTGACCACTGAATGTAGCGATTTCAGTCCTGAAAGACAGAATGTGAACACGTATTAGTAAAACTTTTCCCATACAAAAGACTTTTTGAGAATTATTTTGTTAGGATTATTGCTGTACAATTGCTGCGTACCCTGATGGACCTGTATTGGAAATGAAACTTAAAGAGTATCTCTGGTCAAAAACGAAAAATAAATCTGTATTTCTGTATTGAATTTTCTATCCCGCTCCTAATAACCAGATCCATCTAGAAGTTACTTATTGAAGATGCTCATAGGATGTACTTCCTCAATGCACTGACACAATTCCCAGAGTCTGCCTTCTGAACTACAACTCAGCATCTGAACAATGTAACATTATCCTTGCTTGCTGGCGGCAATGCATGATGGAATATGTAGTCTTGAGAAATGGAGATTCCATCACATCGAGCAGCGGGGAAAGACGCAACGCACTCTGGGAATCCAGGAAGTTGTTGGAAGTGATGGGCAGATGAAAGGCAGTACTCACTACATAAAAGGGATTTTTTTCAAGTAAGCTTTGATTGTATTATCAGAAACAACTCTACTATGTATTCCTATTACAATGCTGATGTTATAACAGGAGAGGATATGCTGGGACTTTACAGCTCCTTTAGGGCAAGCCAAGCCACCTTTCTACTGCCAAAATCTGCAAATTGGACCCCAGATAAATCCCCCATTAGAATGAACACCCTATACTGCAGACAATGATCATATGAAATGGTTTCAAAGTGCAACGAGTCTTAAGGATGTGATGGAGAGCCAGTGTGAGGAACCCAAACTGTATGAACCCCGACAATGACATTTTCGTTTTTGCTCCCCTTTTATCTGTTAAATATACCCCTAAAAGCGTTTTCTTATATCTATTCAAGTGCAAAAAAAACAAAACCTGTTGATCATGTTACAAATCTTGTGAGCTGATAATGTCCTGTGCACTCTTGCCTGTGCTGACTCTCATCAGGTAACACTTGCCAGGTTTCTCTGTGGAACACAGAACACCTTCCCTATATGTTATGCAGGGAGAGGTGTTCTCTAGTCCTAACATACTTTCTGTCCGTAGGGGAAAACAGATGGCGGTGCAGCACAGTGGCTCAGTGGTGAGCACTTCTGCACTGGGGTCCTCGGTCTGAAGCCCAGCCAGGACACCTGCATGTAGTTCACATGTTTGCCTTGTGCTTGCATGGGCTTCCTCCAGCACTTCAATGACAAGCTGCTAGGATCATTGACTCTTGTATAAAATGGCCCTAATATGTGTGTTTAGGGACTTTAGATTGTAAGCTCCTTGAGGGCAGGGACTGATGTGAATGAATAGTACGGAAAGTGCATCGTAAATCACACAATACTTATCACAGGCAGGTGGAAGACACTGGACCACCAAGCAAAGATCGCGGAGAGACACAACGAGCTGCTGGTACTTTGGAGATGCCCCCTCCTGTGATCCCCCACCCCCATGGAGGCGTTGTCTAGCTTTGATGCTGGGGCTTCCTACTCCAGTGGTCTTACTGTAGTAAGCCTCTTTCTTACCTCCGCAAGAAGCCCTCACAGGCGAAACGCATTGAGGTCTAAACCGCGCTCGACTTCGACTTATTCATGGACCAACCTACCTGTTTCTATACAGAATACTAGATATCAGCATACAGACATTCAGACCACTTGTAGCTGCCGATTGTTATTTAATGGTTTACAGGAGATGTTTGTAGAGAAGCCCACTTTTCTTGGTTTTATTGTTCTGTGTGTATAGATGTTCTCAGTGTCATCACTCTGGGGGGAAAGGGGGAGGGGCGTCCCGCTCCAGGTTACACCAACATGACTAACAATCATTTGTGTGTCACCCCCTCTAAAAAGTCGGGCACTCGGTCATGGGCAGGGGGACCCAGCGGCAAACTGTAGCTTATCCCACCGGGTGAACATCCCCTCCTCTCTTTGCCAGCATCCATCACCAAGATGGCCGACGGCAGGTACGCACACATCATCACCCGGTGGCACCACGCCTACGGATGCCCATGGATGTTCCCTATTGGTTGTTTTAATATATAGAAATAAACTCAACTGTTTTTAACAAAATATTTGTATTGTGCACCATAAAATCCCTATTCCCCTTTTTGACTGCAATAACTTTATTTATATCGCAGCCAGCTGCAGCAGTGAAGGAAGCTGAATAAAGTCTGGAACACTATTGGAATTGGTCATTACCTGTCTGGACTGTGTGGCTTCCCATGGGCTCTTCTTTGATAGCGAGGACCTCGTAGTCAATGAGACTCTTCACCAGATATTCCAGGAAGATCTTCACTTCTGCCATGTACAGACTCCACTTGGACAGCAAGCCGAAGCTCTGAAAGTCCGACTTGGACAAACGCAGTTTGTAGAAGAAGTCTGAAAGCCATTTGATGGTCTCCAGGACCTGGGAATGTCATGTCCATAGATAATCCGTAAATAAGCAATCTGAAATAGGGATAAGCTGAAGCCCAATCTTTCTATATCAGCTTTTAATAGAAGAGTGGAGAAGGCACAGAACCGCCATCTATTTTCAGTGCCGTCTGTGACTTTTGTGGTTTTTCTACCGTACTGGGTGTCCCAGTGACACCGCGGTGACAACAGGACAGGAAAGAAGAGGACTAGGAGTCACCGAGCAGGAAGGCACACAGCAATAAAAACCTGATTGAGGTTCTTCCTTCACCGTACTAAAAAATGTGTTTATGTTGTTATCTCCCATTGGAAGGATTTCCAATCACTTCTTGTCCCTTTGAACCCCTGTCACTAAGAAAGGAAGGCCACACAGTGGCTTGGGGGGTTCTGTCTGGCAGCACTGGGGGTACCCGGTGCAAGTCCCAATCAGGACACTATCTGCAAGGACTTTGCATGTTCTATCTGGGTTTTCTCCGGGTACTCTGGTTTCCTCCCATATGTCTAACTTGGTCCTGTAAGTATGTACAATAGGGACCTTAGATTGTAAGCTACTTGAGGGCAGGGACTGATGTAAATGTGCAGCATGTAAAGCGCTGCGTAAACTATCAGTGCTATATAAATACCTGTAATAAATATAGGGCCGCAAACAACAATCGATTAATCGATAATAATTGATTATGAGAATAGTTGTCAACTATTCTCATTATGGATTAGTTGGTTGGATCTCCTAGCTCTCTCCCTCATGCTGGGAGGGCACAGCAAGCTGTGGGCGGGTGCAATAGTCAGCCTGCTATTGCAATTTGAAGTGGCCAATAGCAGGCTGGCTATTGCACCAGCCCTCTACCTGCTGTATTTACATTCAGCTGTCGTCTGCGAAATCTTGCCACTGGCAGCCGTCATTCCTGGGCTGAAGCTATTCCAGCGCCATGTGCTTACAGTACAATTATAAAAAAATATATAATTATAAAAGGTGGGGAAAAAAAGTAATTTTCGGTTTCGGCCTGACAAATTCTGCATTGCAGTGCCATTCATTTCAATGGCACCCCAAACGCATTTCCCGCCCACAGTGTGACTGCCCGCACTGGAACGCATGGTACCGCAATGATGTGCATTCCAGTGCAGTGCGATTGCAAAAATTTGTGCATGCAGTTTTATTCTGTAGTAACCTTTATGTTCGTAACACTCCATTTGTGTATTTTATTTTAAAGATTATATTTATTTATTTTTATCCGATTAATTGAAAAAATAAATCAGCCAACTAATCGATTATCAAAATAATCATTAGTTGCAGCCCTAAATAAATAAATAAGATTAGACCTCCACAATGGGGATGCAGACTGCAATACACACAATGAGATGCTTTAACCCTTCCCCACTATAGGAAGATGAGCTTCATCTTTGGAGTTGGACTTTAAATGTAATAAATCATCAATTGCAAGCAGTTAGCACTTATGTCTCTGAACTTTTCCTTGCCGCTACCAATATCCTCTTAATAGTTAGTCATGCTCTCTCTAGGGGTACACTCACGCCATCTAGTGGCTGTTATGGGGTAATGCAGCACAGCACAGCGCACATGCCTTTAAGGATGGGCTCGGGCATGTTTGCAGCTCTACGTGCGGAGCCCGCCAGGAAGCTGACAGCGCCAATGACAGGCACTGAGACATTTCCCGATCTCTGCAGCTGCGGAGCGGGAAAATGTCTCAGTACCTGTGATTGGCGCTGCGCCCTGTCAGCTTCCTGGCGGGCTCGACACGTGGAGCTGCGAACAAGCCCGAGCCCATCCTTAATGCCTATGCTATACTTGCAGACAAGCCTGCCTTCTGCAGCCAAGGTAACCTCTATTTGCCCCTGACCATTGCTCATTATAGAACTTTGCCCATCTGCCACTAACTGGACCCCTGATTGTTACTCAGCTGATGAAATTCTGCAGCTCAGGGCTTTTGATGCCAATGAGCTGGTTTTGCTCTATGTTCTATTTCTTGTCGGGTCTGCTCTTCCCTCTCCACATATTTATGAAAATGAAAACATCTTACTATAGGTCAGAGTGGGTTGGTCCTACAAATTCCACCTCTACACACTTTGGACCCACTACACAGTGGGTACAAAGTGATTTAATTTTTGTTGTTTTAAAACGCTATCTCCCTACCAGTAGGGCTGTGATGTGTCACTGTTTTGGATAGAAGACAAGCACTCTATCCATAGGGGTACAATTTATGGGATTTGAGCTAATGAAACCTACATCCCCCCCAAGGATTATAAAATGACACCCCAAGAATATTATTACCTGCTCGGCCGATAACATGGTTTTGTTGGTGCAGTTTGGAAACATGAGAGGGTCTTTGTTTTCTGGTTTCACGTTGTTGGGGGGAACTCTGGGGCTGTAGCACCCAATAGCTTTCAATGATGTTCTCCAACTCTCGGGGCTCAGGAGTTGTTCAGAGGAACCTGAGGACCGCACAGCACACCAAGACATGTCACAAAAGTTCATTGAAAGACGATATCAGGTATATAAAATGAATTGCAGGAGATTCGCGAAAAACTGTCCCCACTCCATCCAGAGGAGCTTCAATCAATAGGAATCTAATCATATCTACTCAGTGAGGACCAAGCAGGAGATTCTGGCCCCAGGAATTCAGCGCTGAATTCCCAGGACCAGAATCAGGACCTCCTACTGGGGATCCCTCTAGTGATAATAAAGATCTATATAGAGGAATCAGGACCTCCTTCCTCCTGCTGGTGATCCCTCTAATGACTAAAGATCTATATAGAGGAATCAGGACCTCCTTCCTCCTGCTGGTGATCCCTCTAATGACTAAAGATCTATATAGAGGAATCAGGACCTCCTTCCTCCTGCTGGTGATCCCTCTAATGACTAAAGATCTATATAGAGGAATCAGGACCTCCTTCCTCCTGCTGGTGATCCCTCTAATGACTAAAGATCTATATAGAGGAATCAGGACCTCCTTCCTCCTGCTGGTGATCCCTCTAATGACTAAAGATCTATATAGAGGAATCAGGACCTCCTTCCTCCGGCTGGGGACCTCCTTCCTCCTGCTGGTGATCCCTCTAATGACTAAAGATCTATATAGAGGAATCAGGACCTCCTTCCTCCTGCTGGTGATCCCTCTAAAGACTCAAGATCTATATAGGAGGAATCCGAACCTCCTTCCTGCTGCTGGGGATCCCTCTAGTGATAATAAAGATCTATATAAAGGAATCAGGACCTCCTTCCTGCTGCTGGGGAATCCCTCTAGTGATAATAAAGATCTATATAGAGGAATCAGGACCTCCTTCCTGCTGCTGGGGATGCCTCTAGTGATAATAAAGATCTATATAGAGGAATCAGGACCTCCTTCCTCCTGCTGGGGATGCCTCTAGTGATAACTAAAGATCTATATAGAGGAATAAGGAGCTTCTTCATCCTGATTGTGCACCCCAGAATTGTATTCACTTCCCCCGCTGCCTGGCCACAGTGCTCATTATGTAATCTTAAGAAATAAGCACTCTCAATAGTTGTTTTCCTCTGTGGTTCTGTACCCCATCAGAGCATTCTTTTTTCCTTAATGCATTACTTTGCATTTAGAAACTGCAGTTTCCACTGCTTTGAAAAATCGTTCAGCAATGCTATATCATTTTCCAGGCATGAGCCACAGTGAGGCAGTGAATATATAATTGATGAATGACTCATTCAGCCCTATGTAAAGACCATGTAAATATCTGTCATAAAGGGTTCCACCATTGAAGAAGTCCACTTACTCTGCATGAGGAGCCGCAGGCAGTCACTGTAGTGATCCGGGAACTGATAGCGGAGGATGGAGCTCCAGTGCTTGCAGAAAATATTAAAAGGCATCAGCAGCTCTTCTTCGGGTTCCAGGCCGCAGAGCGTCAGGGCCAGGTGCACCGACTCCAGGAGCTTGCTGCGCTCAGACATGGAAGGTTTTGCAGAGTTCAGCCAGTGGTTCAGATCAAACTACAACATGAAAAAAGGAGGATGAAAGGTCTCCGGATCCAGGTAAAGGCATAAAACATGAATGCACACAACACATAGTCAAATGTAATGTGAATACAACTAACAGGCAAAGTAGAAGGAGGGGAAGCACAAATAAAGGGCCTCAAAGAGGACCTTTGCCCTGTTTTATTGTTTATTGGCTGGCATGGTGCTACTTTTTTATTTATTTTTGCCATTTATAAGGCATCATACATTTACACAGCACTGTACATATTTTTTTCTTTCACATCACTCCCTGCCCTCAAGGAGCTTACAATCAAAAACCTCTATCACACATACATACACAGACATATTAGGATGATTTAGACAGGTGCCAATTAACCTTCCAGCATGTCTTTGCAGTGTGGGAGGAAACCGGAGAACCCGGAGGAAACCCACGCAAGCACAGGGAGAGCATGCAAACTCCCTAGCTGGGATTAAAATCAAGGACCGCAGTGCTGGAAGGCAGAAGTACTAACCGCTAAGCCATTGTCTATATAGGTATATCACACATACATACACACATACTAGGGTCAATTTACACAGGAGCCAATTAGCCTACCAGCATGTCTTAGCAGCATGGGAGGAAAATCGGAGAACACACATTTGCACAGGGAGATCATTCAAACATTATGCAGATAGTGTCCCGGCTGGCACCAAAATGAGGGCCCCAGTGCTGCAAGGTAGAGGTGCTAACCATTAAGGTCTCGTTCACACCTAGGCGTATTGCATATGCGCGTCAGTTGTGCGACCGTCGCGCGTTTTTTTACTGCGATTCGCGGTAAAAAAAGTCGTGCGACCTTCGCGCGTTTCCGAAGGCTACTTGGCTGTATCCCAATGGAAACGCGCAACAAAACGGCCCAAAGTAGTACCTGTACCTTTTCAGGCGTGGGCCGTTTTGTAGCGCGTTAGGGACGGGCGGAAATACGCCAAGGTGGGAACGAGACCATTGAATACAATGGGATTTATATTTTTGAGCGTTTTGTAGAGCGTTCGTCGAGCGTAGAACGCGCTACAAAACGTTCAGGTGTGAACGAGGGCTTAGTCACAGTCTATACAGGCATGAAATATTATGAGATTTTGGCAGATGTATCCTGCAGCTTTTCTGGGTTGTATGATGTGTAATTCCAGGACTTTTCCAGAGCGTCTCCCATTCTCTGGAACTCCCTACCCCGCTCTGTCCGCTTAACTCCTACTCTGTCCACCTTTAGGCGATCCTTGGAAACTCATCTCTTCAGGGAGGCCTTGTCCAGCTCAGTATAACAGTACTTTCAATTCTTTTATTTAATCATCCCACACAATTATTACCTTTTGTATCACTTGCTCCCCCCCCCTACTAGATTGTAAGCTCTCATGAGCAAGGCCCTCCTACCTCCTGTACTGAAATTGTATTGTTAATTGTATTGTCTCCCTCCATTTTGTAAAGCACTGAGCAAACTGTGCTATATAAATCCTGTATAATAATAATCCCAGGAATCTGCGCGGGTTGAGAAGGGGCTACATCGCTCTCACCTTTGCAAGATACCAGGAAGGAGAATTGTGATTAACAAAACAGGTCATTAGAAAATCAATTAGGTAAGAGGGAGGAAATAAGAGACCCATTTAACATTTAGTTAAAGGAGAACTATGGGGTTAGGGCTTTTCCCAATAGTTCTCCTTATGGTAACGGGAGGACACAAACTAGCGTCCTCCCGTCTCTCTAAGCTCAGTATAAGCTAAACTGAGGCGCTGAAACGGATCCCGACAATTATCTCTGGATCCGCCCAGCTGCGTGAGTGAGAGCTGGCTCTGCCTATCTGGAGGCAGAGCCAGCTGTACCCGCCCCCGACCGTTCCGCCAGTCAGCGCTGGAGGATCGGAGCGGGGAGGGGGGGGGAATCCAGCCCCTCCCCCTGTCACGGCAGAGGGCCGTGACAGGATCGAGAAGTAAGCGAACGCCGGTATGTGTTCGCTCACCTCCTGATCTACTGAGCCGACCTGTGACAGTCTCATTGTCACAGGTCGGCTAGAACTATGAGGTGAGTGAAAAGCACTCACCTCATAGTTCTCCTTTAAAGGTTTATTTTAAAATAATCAGGATTCCTAACGGCACTTCAACAATGCCAACCCAGCCTTGTAGGATGAGCCACCTAGTAGGCAAGGTGCCTCCTAAAGTGAAGGCCAGTGCCCCAAAAGTCTGGGGAGTCCCCCTGTGCAAGATGAGCACCAGCAGCCCCATATGAGTAGGTGACACACTCAGAGCCTCATAGGATACTTACCACTAAGGAAGAGGGGGAGAGCAGGGCCAACCCCAGAGCACAGCAGAACACCACACCATGCTACAGATTCTCCATCACTTCCTGTCTATACGTTTTGGCTGGACCTTCACTTTAATATATTAAGCTGCAGCCCCAGATTGACCATGAAGTGTTCCCTATACAGGCAAATGTTTCTTGAAAATGTGTCTTTAAAAAGGACCTGTTAGTGGCGGTGTTTCTTTTGCTACATCCGAACATGATGATCTTGGCAAAGACGTTAGAGTGTAAGCTCCTCTGGAGAAGAGACTTCTCTAAATAGTTCTGAATGTCTTCAACAACGACTGCACATTATTATCTTCAACCTCCAAGGAAACCACATTAGAAAAGTGCAGACACGACCCATTCGTACATGGCTGTACCTTGGTGAGCAGCATAAAGATGACGTCACTGTTGTCCTCAGAAATGGCTTCCACCACCTTCTCGTACAGGTGTACGAATTCTCCTGGCGAGGCGGCTGGGGTGAAATACGGAGACAGCAGGTTGCAGAGGCGCCGGTTCTGAAGAATGGTCTGGAGTATGGGCCGGCACTCAGACTGGGCCCCACTTATAAATACCTGGAGGGGAAAAGAACACAGGCTTCCATCAAGTAAAAATGACTTCCCTTCTGAAGCAGCTGCCGCACGCCATCTTGAAAGTCAAAAGTTGGGTTTGCAAAGGAAACCAATTGGTGACTTCCAGGACTGCATGTGGCCAGGAAGGAGGTTATTTTTTTTTTTTAAAGATGAGCTCTGGGATTTTTGTAAAAAAATATCCTTGTAGTGGGGCCCTTCCTGCACTTCAAGGGTTACCTGCTCATTAAAGCTGAACTCCAGGTATAAATATTTATATATACCTTCATTGGTCCCGATTGGCCCCCATGGAACCATATAGATTTTATACCTGGTTGACCCACGGGGATCCTGTAAAACAGGTCTTCCGGGTCCTGAAATCAGTGGAAACCTTCTATTAATTGCTAAAAATACAAGACCTTAGCTGATTGGAAGAGGGGTGGTGATGTCACGATCCGCACCCTGTCCAATCAGAGAATGCCTACAGGATCCCCATGGCCCTTCCAGGTATAAAATACATATACTTACACTGGACCAAGTCCATGCATTGCTGACACCAAATTCCAAGCAGTGCATGGCCAGCTTAAAGGGACATAACACTAACCAGCAATGTAACACGGCATCCTT